CTACGGCAAACTGCCTTTAGGTATTGTTCACATATTGTGAATGGCAAGCTCCCTGTGACGTATTCAATATGCCAAACACAGTAACAACAAAGTCTCCAATGGAGACGTTACTGGGACCACTCGAGCAAATCGATGACCAACAGGAGGGCCTTTTATCTTATGTCTTATGCCCTGCATATGAGTGCAATCATACTATGTTTACCCTTTCTCTTTGACTTCACTCAGCATGTTACTTTTCATGTCTATTCATGAATATAAGAAAATTTCATGACTTCATTTTTCTAAACAGTCATGTAGTATTCAATTGTTGATGTATCATAATTTCTTTATTTACTCGTCTGTTCTCAGGCTCTTGGGTTGTTTCCAGATTCTGGTTTTTGAGGACAGTACTGCAGTGAACATAAGAGTGAAGATGGCTTTTCGGCATTGTGCTTTTGGACCACTTGAGTATATTCCCAGGGGTGGTATGGGTGGGCATATGGAAGTTCAATTTCTAGTTTTTAGGAATGTCCATATTGTTTTCCATAAAGGCTGAAACATCAGCATTCCCACAAGCAGTAAATAAGAGTCCTTTCTCTCCAGATCTGCTCCAGTACTGGTCCTTTTAGTTGTGTGCCAATCTCTGTGGTATGCGATATCTCATTGTTGTTTGCATTTCATCTTCCTGATAATTAGTGATATAGAGCATTTTATCATGTGCCTTTTGACCATTTGTATTTCTTCTTTGAGGAAGTTTCAGTTCACCTCTTCTCCCCATTTTTTGATGGAGTTGAATTTTTTTTCTTGTAAAGTTCTACCAGTGCCTTATATATATTGGATATTAGCACCTTATCAGATGAGTGTCGGTTTGGACTCTTTCAGTTAACGGTGAACTATTTTCGGTTAAGTTGTCAAAGTATTACTTTGAAGAGTCTTTTCAATTGAATATGTATACATTCATTGTTTTGTTATGTGCATGTATTTCAATTCTGTATGATGCCTGCTTATAAATAATTTAAAAGATGTAAAAATGTACCAAAATGTTAGTATTTACTATTCTTTCTTATATTCACTGTTGGCATTTTTATTCTATTTACGAAACTGGGATTTCATTGTTTTCTTTGTTATAATGAATATTAGTTTTAAAATTGCTTTGTTTTATAATGTGTTGTGATAATATTTTCATAGATCTACAAAACTAAATTTGACAGGCTCTTTGTAACAACTGTATGATATTTTATAATATAACAAATACAACCAGCACTATAGCATATAATAACATAGATTTCAAAAGATGTTTAGAAATCTGTACTTTAATAATATAGAGACAAAAATAAAATCTTCCAAAATATCACCCAGCTACAAAGTTTTCTTGAAAGAAATCTGGAGATCACAATTTTTTGTTCTAAGTAAATGACAGTCCACTAAATACCCTTAGAAAGTTCTCTTTTTGTATATGATTCCAGCTAAATTCTCCTTTAACATATCCTGTCTTACTAAAGATGCCTTCCAGTTTAGCTTAGCATAAACTTTTTAACATTTGCTTATTTAAAATGGAATATCTTAATATATAAAATATCAAACATGAATATAGTTTTCATGCATTGTTATCTTCAATTTTAAGATTTTAGATATGGGGAAAGTAATAAGGTACTAGTGGAGCTTCTCCTCCAAATAATTTGGCTAACTTATTTTCAGTTACACAGGAAGATACTTACAGCTTACATGGTTAGTATTACTATATTACTATATGAGCTAATAACCATGACTTCTACCATGTAAATTTGCTGAGATAGAATGGGAGCCTGCATATGGGGTCTGTTTATAAAGTGGTATCAGACACATATAACACTGTAGAAAAGAAATTCCTAATTAAAATTCATATGCCTTGGGAAAGGGGTGGTACTACCAACATAATATAATATGTAATGCATTATAATGTATTACAAGATAATACATTCAAGCAAATATTCAAGTCAAAGATAATTTACGAAGAAACAATGGTTTTGAGAACCTCCCTCTGTGAATCTCCCTCTGAATCTCCAATGGTTTTTCTCACTCTCTCTCTCCCTTTCTTACACACACACACACACAATTTTCGTTATTTAAAAAGTAATAACAGACAGATCCAAATTTTATGTTATCTCTATGTCCCTCAGGGCTATGAAGAGATAATTTTGTGATCATCTTGTGTCATCTTCTTTGCAGAATGAACGGCACTGGATTTGAATATGTATTAAAACTGTGCAGGCTCAAGTCATTTAAATTCCCTGAGTTCCGGTTTCTATACTCACAATACAAAAATCATTTTTTACAAGATTACTGGGGTACTTAAATAAGATAACATAGGAAAGAATTTATGCAATATTGAATAAATTGTTTCCCTCAAAAGGCTTTTCAGTAGAAAAATATTTTTTAGGAATAAAGTATATAGATAGGAAGGTAGTATAACAAAGAAAACTTAGTGACATGAGAATAATAATGCTTATAATCAAGCAGTCTCTGCCCCCGCGCCTGGGTGTTCCTTCCCGGAGTCCCTTGGAGGGGAGTGGGTTGAGCTTTCCTCCCCGCCCCGACCAGGGCTACGGCAGCCAAAGACCTCCAGGACCAGCCACCACCATGCTGAGACCACTCTCCGCACACCTGGAGGTACTGGCAGAGGGACAAAACCACGCGGGTTCCGGGGCCGAGACCTCCAAGCCTACTCGAATTGGAGTCGAGCATCTTCCACCCAGATCCTCCAAATTCCAGTAGGCGGGGGTAACACCCACCACCTGGCCCCCTGGCGCCGTGTAATCCCATCAGCAGCCAAGACTCAGAGACTTTAAAATTCAGAACCCGGAACCGCGCGGCCGCATTCGCGGCCGCGCGACATCTTAACAGAACTTTTTTTATGACATCTTATTGTTTTATTCCTACTTTGGACAAACTTGCAGGCTATTGAATGTGGCCTGCCCACAGGGCAGAGTCTGGCAAACTCCCCGTGGCGTACCAAATATGCCAAATACCAGTAACAATGATGGGTCTCATTCTCCTAAATAGCCTTGAGTATAATCTCAGGGCAAGGATGAAGGAGACGTTACTGGGGCCTGCTCGAGGCGATCGACGAATAACAGGATGATGAAATGAAATGAAATGAATGAAATAATCAAGCATGATTTCATAGTTATAAAGAACTTTTGTATACCTTATTTCACTTTTTCACAAGAAATCTGTAAATGACTTGTTAATTCTTATAACCAATATATAGAGTAGGAACTTTGAATTAAACTAAGCGAACTAACCATTATTACCATGCAAGTTTGTAATGGTGCAAAGTTCCTTTTGACAAATAATCTTATGTTATTTATATTATTTCATATTATTTATCAGTCAAACAGCTGACAACTGTTAAACAATTAGAAGACTTATTCCAAAAGTATGCTTCAAATCAAACACTATTCTCCATTTTATCACATTTCTTGAAAGATGAGAATATCTGGGTGAAATAGACTAAAATATTCCTGGATACCTGAAGCCTATGTTAAACTCAATGTGCATTTTTTGGCTATTGTGTATCAAAGACTTATATTTCTAATACCAAATGGGTCCTATTTTTTGTGTAAAAAACATATAAATGAGGACTGGAGCGATAGCACAGCAGGTAGGGCACTTGCCTTGCATGCAGCAAACCCAGGTTCGATTCCCGGCCATCCCTTATGGTCCCCCGAGCACCACCAAGAGTAATTCCTGAGTGCAGAGACAGGAGTAACCCCTGTGCATCACCAGATATGACCCCCCCAAAAAAGGAAAAAATAACAAATGAGGGTTAGTTTTAAAATAAGCAACGCGGGCTGGAGAGACAGCACAGCGGGTACGGTGTTTGCCTTGCATGTAGCAGACCCGGGTTTGATTCCCAGCATCCCATATGGTCCCCTGAGCACCGCCAGGAGTAACTCCTGAGTGCAGAGCCATGAGTAACCCCTGTGCATCGCCAGGTGTGACCCAAAAACCAAAAAAATAAAATAAAATGAAATAAAATAAAATAAGCAATGTCTGCTATCTTCCTATATAATGAATGATCATTTTCTCTCTCTTTCATTTATTTATTTATTTATTTATTTTTGGACTACACCAAGTAATGCTCAGTCCTAACTCTAGCCCTAACCCAAACTTCTGGCTTTGCACTCAGGAGATTACACCTGGCAAGCTTGAAGGACCATATGTGGTGCCAGGTATCGAACTTTTGTCAGCTGCATGCAAGGCAAACACCATAACCTCTGTAATATTGTTCTGACTCCTAATGAAAGATCCTCTTGAGAATTCTCTCATAGAAAGAAACAATTGCTAGGAAGGTAAAGGATGCTAGGGTTAGCACTAGTAATTACTTTATCCATTGGAAAATAAGAGAAAAGTAGACAGGTTCTGTTCTCTTAAACAAAAAGGTGAGTCTATTGAAAATTAAGTCGATGCTGCATCAAAATTCACAGTTGTCACCTGGGGGGATAAAAGCTTGTGAGATCAACTTAAATTTCTTATTTCTAAAGACTAAGAACAGTGGTTTGTTTGGCCCCTATAAATTATAGTGATTTGGTTTCAGCCGGAACAAGCTCCACAAGCTAATACTGGCAGCCACTCTTTATGGGAGTGGCCAAACAAGTCAGTTTTCATTTCCTTTCAAGTCCTTGTTTGGCTCATCCATCCACTGAAAAGCAGAACAAAAAGGCAAGAGATTACTGAACCTTAAAGCACCCAAGTGGCTCAGGTAGGCTCAGGGGTTATTTATAACCGTCTGGCTCACACTGAGAACTTCCTGCTCTGTTCAGTGAATGTGTAAGGTGTAAATGGGAGCTCCAGTGCTTTAACAGTAGACAGATGAAGGTGTAATCAATGATTAAATTCTCAAACCTTTTTTTAAAAAAAAACCTCTAAAAAACAAAACAAAATAAACAAACAAACCAAAAAACCAAAAAAACATTGTGATCATTAACCTGAGACTAGATAGACTCATCCTTTTCTTCATGTGTGCTTTCTTTTTGTAGATGCTGCTATGAAGACAGATTCACCAGCTATGACTGATGTGGAATCTGCGGACACCGAGTTTGCATCTTCAGCAAGGTCAGGCCGCCGAAATGCTGTCACAGACATCCAGGATGTAGCTGTGACAGGCGAAACTTCAGAATTGCCTGTCAAACTACAAGATCTCACCCTGAAGGAAGGTAAAACGCAAAAATCCTTTTAACATTGACTGCATGGAGAGGGTAAGGGAATGGAGGGGGGGGGGGGAGGGGAGGGGAGGTTACAGCAGGAGATATAATTCAAGGGGTTGGAGCACTTGCTTTGCATACAAGAGACTCCGGTTGGGGCAGAGTCAGGAATAATCCCCACCAGTATGACCCAAAACAACCAAATGCAGCAACAACAAAAACCTTTGTTGTTTCCGAAAGGAAGGTTAGGCCACAGCCAGCAGTGCTCTGGCTTACTCCTGACTGTGCTCAGGGGACCATATAAGGTGTGTGGATCAAACCAGGACTGCAGCATGCAAGGTGAGTGCCTTTACCCACAGTACTATCTCTCTGGTTCTAGCAGCAAAAAAAAAAAAAAAAATTATGTTTACTAATATTTTATTTAAGACTAAGCAGACATGTTTTATTCTTTTTGGAAAGTGGACAATATTATCTTTACATCTTGTGGTGTGTATAAAAGTTTATTCAGTGAACTTGCATTGTGGTTGGGAGTACAAAGTTAGAAATACGATTTCTTGAATGTGCTTACAAAATGTATTGAAAAGCAGAAAAAGCAATAATTTCCTCTTGCTCTACATTGCAGATCACTTTGAAAACTTCTGATTTCTTATAATATTGTACATGGCTTTCTATTGTCTAGAAAGAAATTTAGTAACTAGATATTTAAAGTGAATATTTTTGTAAAAGCTGGGAAAAAAAAGTTGAATTAAGAAAAAAAGAACTGTCAAACCAAGAAGGGAAGATTTGTGGCTTTCTTTACAATGTATAGGGCTCCTGGAGTTTAGTTTCCTAAAAATAAATATAATCTTTCAATAAAAACTTCTCTATTGTATGTTCAAAAACTATGTTGGAGGGATGTAGGGAGATTTATTCAATTTATTGAAATCAGACAAATTCAGAAATCAGAAGAATTACAATAATGATAACTATCCATGAAAATGTAACCATTCTAAGAAAACACCCTTTTTGTTTAACTATTGTGTTTCTTTATTAACATTTCAATAAAAGGGCAACAACAACCACAACCTCTTGAGGAGCTTGGTGTATCTTTTTATTTCCAATCTTTTAATATATTTTTAGACATTTTAAACATTTTTACATTTCAAAACAAAAAATGGGACTGATAAGGCCAGGTAGATAGCTGTTGCACCTGAGTTGCATGTGTGAGATCCAAGGTTCAATCTCCTGCACTGCATGACTCCCTGAGCACTGCAAGGGATGGCCCTAGCACTCCCAGTGACTCCCAGCACTGCTCAGTCCAAGCTGTACCACTAGTATCTAACACTGAACCATCACAACAGCACCACTTGCTTGAGTATTGTTGGGACTTCTCCCCGCCCCACCCTCTCCACAAATGCGACTTGTATAGGAGGTCTTTGGAATAACTTAACATGTTTCAGTTGATAATCCAAGAAAATTTAGATCGTCAGCAGATAATCTCTGTCCAGTTGATCTGATGACTAAGTTTCTTGTCAACTTCATAGCAAGTAAACTACTTAATGCACCATCATCAATGTTCCATCTCTTCACATAAGGCTACCTAGAGAGACACAATTTCTTCCAGGAAGCCTCTAGTGCTTTGTAGGTAACTTGACTAGAACCCATAGCAGCAAATGCTGCTTTGTTTACTCTGGAAATAATATTTTGCTTTGCATTTCTTACTTCTGAGAGTCCTGTTTCCAACCAAGCTTGTTTTTCCCAGGGAGTTGATTTAACCTCCCAGTAGTCAGCGGGCAGTTGAGTGTGATGGGAAGATTCATCTCTCCTCTTGATTTTAGTTCTGTCTTTAACAAATGTTAATATTTCTTTTTTTTACTGGAAAATTACTAAATACCATCTTTGTCTGCCCAAAAATGTGTCCCTTTTTTTTTTTATAAGACTCTAACTCCACTGTGTTTTCATTCCATTGCTACTTCAAAATCACAAATTGCCTTTGATAAAAGGAATGGCCCATTTTTAGTTCTCTTAAATAATCTTCAGGAAACTGCTTTTTCTTTCCTTTTCTTTTCTCTGTTTTTCTTTTCTTTTCTTTTCCTTTATTATCAAATCTGGACCCCAATACATACAAGTATTTTTTTTTTGAGTTGAGGTATATGATTTTATAACACTGAGTGTACTAGAGGAGCACAGTTTGCTACTCTTCAGATATGTTGCTACACCATGCTCACAACTGAAATGTCAGTATTCCTCTGTCAGAGTGCATGGGATCTTAACCTTTTCCCCTTTCTGCTCTGATCCTCCACCCCCTTCTGGTGACCCTACTTAGTTCTGCATTCAGAATCCAAGGATTTATTTTATTTTAGTTTTTTCTGTTCTATTCTTTTGATCTTTTTGATCTTTTATAGGTCACATAAGAGTAAGAGCACTCAGTAATTTTCTTTCTTCTGCTGACTTATTTCACTTAGTATGACCTCATCTAATTCCATCTATATTGGCACAAGTGGCAATATTTTTCCTTAAATATAAAATTGTTTAAAATTTTAAAATGACATATTTTGAAGGATTAAAGAAGAGAAAGTAAAAGGAAGACTCATACTGAAAGAGGGTCCTACTCTCATTATTTGAAGATGTTAGTGGCTTGAGGTATCAGGAAAATCTTTACCAGATGGAATGGAAAAGAGTGGGAGTATAATCATTAGAATTAGCTTCCTGATGAAGGAGAAATGGACAGGAACCCAGGACATGAAGGATTTAGACTGGATAATATAAGCAGCACAGGGCCAGCTCCAAACACATGCCTCGTACAAGATACATAAGGTCCTAGACTCAGAAACTGCCCCTTTGGTTCCATGCTGTACTGTTGGTATCTTAGGGGCTGGAGACATAGTATACATGTGGGGTTCTCCCTGAGCACAGAGGCAGGAGTAAGCCGACCCCCACCTCCCCAAGCCCCATCAAAAAAAAAAAAAAGACAACTCAAGTATTTTCTGTTGCTGTCTTAAGACTTTCTGTATTTTTGAACAGCATTTGCTTTATTTTCACTTTGCATTGGTTTCCAACAAAATAATTTGCCATCCCTGAGGAATTCATATCCTTTTTATTCTAGAAAGAACAACAACAGCAACAAAAAAGAGCAAGTGAAACTGGAGAGATTGTACAAGGGTTAAAACACTTTTTTGAGCGGGGAAGAGTCACACCTGACAATGCTCAGGGGTAACTCCTGGGTCTAGACTCAGGGACTGACTATATGGGATGCTGGGGATTGAACCCAGGTCAGTCACATGCAAGGCAGATGCCCTACCTGCTATACTATTGCTCCAGCCCCTAAACACTATTTTGCGTACGATCAACCCCAGGTTCAATACCAGGTATCACATATGGTCTCCTGGACTCTGTCCTCTGTCTCTGAGTGCAGAGCCAGGAGTAAGACCCTGAGCACAGCTGGGTGTGTCCCGGCAAACAAAAATAAACCCTAAGGTAGTGTACATCTTGTGTGTTTGGGGAAGTGATCAGTGACAGGTTTTGCTGCAGTAAGTTGAAGGAGATCTTATCTGATGACTTTGAGTCTTTACTTATTGTTGTAGAAAGTAAGATTACTTCCTAGAGTTAAAGAGGTAGAAAATAGGAGGAAACAGGAGAGAATGTGATCCAGTAGGAAAAGGTGTGTGAAATGAGGTATCCTGTGTCCAGATTGTGACACTTTTTGTAACTTAATAGCTCTGTGACTTCCAGCAAATGGTCAAATGATCAATGCTTTATTTCATTCCCCTGTAAATGAAGATAGCAATGATACCCTAGAATACTATCTGGTGCATAATGATTCTAAGGGATAAGGGAAAGATGGTTAGGAGGTTATAGATTCACAAATACCTGCCTCTTCTCTTTGTTTAACTTCTATATTTGAACTGAAGAGCATTTATCAAGTTTTTAGTCAGGTAGAAAATGACTTGGATGCATAAACGAAAAACCAACTGCTTATTATATAAATATAAAATATTGATTAATTGTGTTATATTAGCCCAGCAAGCTACCAAGAGTATCTCACTCGCACGGCAAAGCTTGGCAAGCTACCCGTGACGTATTCGATATGCCAAACTCAGTAACAAGTGTCACAATGGAGACGTTACTGGGCCCGCTTGAGCAAATTGATGAATAATGGGAGTGACAGTGACAGTGATATTATGTTTTTAATATTTTTGTAATTTAATGACATTGATTTTTTTAGATGAAAAAAATAAAAATGAAGAAACAACAAAAGAACAACTGGAAAATCCACCAAAGAAAGAAAACTGAAGGCTCAGAACCTATGAAAAAGTATTGAATTTCTGTGTGTTGAAATGTTTAGAGGCTCTGCTTTCCTGAGATGTCTGATTTGGTAGTAACTATGGTAACATTAAATATGTGTGTATTTTATAATTTTTGTTGTGATACCACTTACTTGGGTTGCAACCCTGATATCTTACGTAAGTTATTCAAAAGAAAATTTCTTCTAAATCGCATCAAAGCAAATGGTTAAAAAAAGTGTGGTAACTTAAATACACATCATTGTTTATAAACCCAATACAATCTACTATGTCTTTTGAATTTATTTAGCCAGATGTATATTTTAATTCCATTTTTATGACAATGGTGAATTGTTTCTTAGTAAATATAAAGCAAGCATCATTAACTTAAAAACTATGGTGAGAAACCAAATTAATCAAGATTATAACTTATAAAACTATAAACTATATAACTATAAAAATGTAATGTGAAAAATACATCAATATATTGTGTTTGTTTTGTTTTAAATCAAGTGTACTAATTTTTTTCAAACCAGTAAAAGATGTGAAAAAATTATAAAAATTTTATAGTCTAAACATTGTAAAGATGATTTTGCCTGATAAAGTTTGCTTCTAGTCTATGCATACTGTGATTTTTCATGTGAACTCTTTAAAATGGAAAATTTGTGACAAATTGTTTATATGCTTATTAAATGAAATTCACTATCTTCCTTAACTTTTATGTATTGTGTGTGCATATTTTACTTAAATGTGAGTTATGCAAAATACTAATTGCTTTACATTGTTATCTGATATTTAAGATTCTTTGTGTATCTATGACTTGTTTCTGAAGTTAATTTCCTCAGGAATGCAGACTTTAATTTTATAACTTTCTAAAAGTAGCTAACAACTTAAGGCACTTAAATATTTAGTGAGTGGTATGGTAAATTAGCAAAATACTTGCTCTTAATATATTTAAGTATATATTTTTAAAAGAAAAAACCAAAGCTTTAGTAAACTTTAATTTATTAGATTATAGAAAAATAATACAATTCTGAGTTTTTAAGAAACATTGACTAATGAGTTTATTTTCATATACATATATGCATGCAGTTCTATTTTATTTTTTTGTGACTTAGACCATATCTGTTCACAGCAGTCAAATAAACTCTTTCACTATTAAAGAAGCTTGTTATTGACACATATCTTTTAGTTTCTTATGTATGCCAGGTGAAAAATGGCAATATATTTTAAGCCTTTGCAATATAAATCATCACATACTTAATATTTCATGGACAAATTTTCCTTTCATAAGTAACATTCACTAAAGGAATATATTTAAGTAATATGATTTAAGTTCTCAAATATAAATTTTCTTTATAAAACAATCCAAAGTGTTATTTTATGTCTGATGCTAATTTAATACTCAATAAAATATATTATGGCCATTTCCCAGAGTTATTTCACGTCAGGATTATGTTCATATAAATTACATTTTAGATCATTATTTCAAGTCACATTATTCCGTCGGTATAAAGAGGGGTTAGAATAGGATAGTAATTTTCTTTGGGGGAAAATTGACAATTTTGCCACCTAAAGGACAGTGAAACAAACACTTGGCTGCAACGAGAGCAGGGGGCGAGGACGAGCCGAGATGCTGTTGCTACTGACCTCTAGTGGGCAGAGACGAGACAGTCGGCTAAATGGCTAAACACCCTGCACTTCTGCTGGGCAGACCCCGCAGTGCTGCCGCTGAGAAAGTCAAGAGGAGAGTTAAAATGGTTAAACATGTGGATTTTGGATTCAGATGATCTGGGTTTGGATTCTAGCTTAGCTATGAGCCATTTGTGTGACCGTGGACAATTTATATCTTGTTTAGTATCGATTTGCTCGAGCGGGCCCAATGACGTCTCCATTGGAGACTTTGTTGTTACTGTGTCTGGCATATCGAATACGTCACGGGGAGCTTGCCAGGCTCTGCCGTGCCGGCGAGATACTCTCAGTAGCTTGCCGGGCTCTCCGAGAGGGGTGGAGGAATCGAACTAGAGTCGGCCATGTTGGCTGCATGCAAGGCAAACGCCCTACCCTTGTGCTATCGGTGTGGGGTTGCAAAAATGTAATACATACAGCATGAGACAGTATAGATAACACACTTGACCACTGGGTAGCAAGGAATAATTAGGGGCTGAGGAGAGTGGAGCAAGGTAAGCATCATACCCATTGTACTCTCTCTCTGGCACCCATGAGGTCCTCACAGCCATGCAAAAAGTGGTCCCTGAGCTCTTCTGAGTGTGACCCAAAAAATAAAAGAAAATCATTTAAACATTAGTTATAATTATCATTTTAATCATTTTTATTCTGGATTCTGTGGTCATTATTCTCTGGCGTTTGAGGTTGTGACACCTGGACCTGTTAGTTTGTCTCCTCTGACTTCCTCTGTGCTTTCATAAGCATTCCCAGTTCTTGCTGCTAGGAGAAGACTGGATGTTGAAATATATGACTCTTGGTAATTACCACTTTACTGCCAATTAAGTTATGTTAGTCAGTTGTTGACAGTTGACTATTACCATTTAACAGTGAGTCACCTCACTAATGTTTTATACAAATTTCTGGAACAAAACAGAACTTTGACTCAGTATTTAAATGAGCAAATTGTTCTATGGAAAAAACCCTAACAACAACAACAAAAAAAACCCTGATTCTTATTATAGTATCATGCAGTATTCATCCTCATTTAGGAGACTGAAAAGGAAGCCATGTCTCTTCTCATTATTGATACTAATGATATATAATCTGAATAATTATAGTTCTAAATCACATATGTTTTAGTGCACACATACATGTCTCATGGTGTGCATATTTATTATTTAGTTACACAAACAATTGGGCTTGTTGAATATTTATAAAGAAAAATATTTATTGGCTGAGAGAATATTTAGACAAAGGATAATGAGATATTAGTAGTTTTAAAACAAAATTAAATTCACCTAAAAATCTTAAAAATAAACTATTTTAAAGAATCTAAGATGTTTTATCATAGTACGGAGACACACTTTTGTTTGTTTGTTTTTGGGTCACACCCATTAATACTGAGGACTTAATTTCTGACTGCTCTTAAGGATCACTCCCAGCCAGGCTTAGGGGACCATATGGGGTACCGTGGAGTGACTTTGTGTCAGCTGTATCTCACCATTTGTATTCTCTTTCTGGCCCCACTTGGTAAATTTGTTGGAATTTCCTGGAGCAAATGGAAGTGTCCATGCCCACTTTTTGCCATTATCATTTTTATGCTGCTTGCTAGGTCATTTCTTAAATCATCATCATTGTCATCATCATCAACATCATCAACAGCCTGAGCAAAAATACAGTAGAGACTTCAAGAATCTGTTGATTCTTTTATGTTACTTGCCAAGTAGATTTCCCTTCTACTCATTTGTTCTCTTTTGTTTCCATGAGCACTATTTTCCTACTTACAGCCGATAAATCAGAATATCACATTTTTTCAGGGCTCATATTTTTCTGAGCATTGATAACAATTCTCATGACATTAAGAGTCTGCTCCTATTTAAAAAACTAAATTAAAATTTCAAATAACAATCCAGAGACCAAGGTATGTATTGTTCCTACTGGTTAAGTTCCTAGAATGGACATATAATGACATTTTATGTCAGTGGAAATAATGATTATTATTTTGAACAATTGGTGATTACTAAGTTCCTCAGTTGGTTCTTTTGAAACTTAATAATAATTTTTATACAGAAGAGTTGTTAATGGTTTTCATTTTATGGATGAAAACAATAGATTCAGGGAGTACTATTGGGAGTTCATCCAAGAGATAAAGGACTGTGATGGTCTGGGATAGGACACTTAAAACCAGCATATGAACTGATTTTCTTGTACCAAAAGGCCTTGTTGCCTTAAACCATCTAATACATTAATTAATAAATTTATCTGAATTCCACTGAAGACATCTAGAATAACTGAAAAGTTGTACATGGGTATGATAGCACAACTATTTTGAGACTTTCATATCTTAGTTTAAGAAATTTTGCTCTGTACTGATTCATTTATTTCCTTCATTCCGTCTTACTCCAGGAAATGCTTTTTTTTAGCAAATGCAATTATCATATAATTTGCCATTCACATTCAGGACCCTGAAAGAATGGAAAATTAGTGGAGCTGTGGTTCTTTTTTTTAAATTTTTCTCATTTTTATTTTATTTTTTAATTGAATCACTGAGGTAGGTCCTAACAAAGCTGTTTGTGATTAGGTTTTAGTAATACAGTGTTCCCACACCAATCCCTCCACCAGTGTACATTTCCCAGCACTAGTGCCCACAATTTCCCTCCCATCACCACCGCCCCCCCCATCTCCAGCTTGCCTCTCCCCCACCCCTCTTAGGCACTGTGGTTTGCAATACAGATACTGAAAGGTTGTTGTGTATATCCCTTTACCTACTTTTAACACTCAGTTCTTGTCCAGTGTGATCATTTTCTATAGGATAACATTGGTTTGCCCTTACTCCCTGGCCGCAGAGAGCTTGAGTTTGTTGGTTGCTCCTCCAACCTGTCAATTACCTTTGCCTCCTGATCAGACTCTGTTGACTTGTAAATATTGTTTTTTTCTCTTTTTAATGTCCTTTGCATGGTTAGCTACTTTAGAGCAATTAATTTTTGTATGGACACAGGAAGACAGTTAAAAAGATAAGCCTGTAACTTGGGAGTTAATTGATTGCAGATAATATCACCTCCTGGACAATTGCTCTCTTGACTTAAGGTGCCATAATGCTTAACTATAAACTATAAACATGGTCATTGACAAATTCTGTCATGATTCAAAGAAGTAATAACTACATTCGGACCCTGCTAGGGTTAGGAATGATTAATCCGGCCTGAGCTCTGTAGTCTGAGTCTGTGGCGAGATGTCCCCAGGAGAGTTGTCCTACAAGCCTAATTATGTCTACCGCTGTGTCTATACAGAATGGAAAATATTAGGAAGTAGAATTAGATGTTAATTAAAATTACTGGTCTAAGGAGAGGAGAAACACACCTTAAGTGATGTTTTGCCCTTGTGGGCTGTAAATGATCAGGTAGCCTTGATAAACATGTTGATTGTGCTTGGGGCAGGGCGAGGAAGGTGTGCTTTGGGAGGAGTGGTTAGAGAAGAGGTGGTTAAAGAGGAGAAAGAGTGAGAGTTGGCGAGAAGGATATTACACAGCAGAGAGGGGGAGGCAGAGTTGCAAGCAGATTACACAGCACAGACTTGGGGTGGAGTGAGTTAGAGACAGGGCTATAGAGAGCTGATTGTTGTGAGAGTTGTGGAGAGAGTTTGGGAGAGACGAGAGATGGAATAAATTGCAATTGATTACCAACCAGCTTGGCCCTTGTTCCTCCTTTGTTGTCCCAAGGCAACTGCTGTCCCAGGTGGGGAAGCAGTTCAAGAGCACCGAACGTGGGTGGCGAGAGAGAACCTCCCAGGGAGCTCACAAACATCCGTTAATGTGTGAGCACCACTAGCAACACCTGAGCCAAAGGAGTTTACACAATTTCCAACTACTGCGTTTGTTTAGGTCATTCAGTATTTTATTGGGAAGGTAAGGCTAAAGTAGCTTTATTAACTGGCTGGCAATTTTGGGGTGTGGATGTGGTAGGTAGCTCATCCCACCCCCAGAAAACCTGAAGAGTTCAGTCACAAAACCCATGTACCAAAATTTTCAGCAGATTATATCTCGGTGAGATCTGTCCTGAGAAGGTGGAATCTGGCCAGGGGCATGGTGGTGATTTGGGATTGTGGGAGCAAGCGGCTTCCGGGGGCTCTGCTTGGCAGGCACCAGACTGACCTGCCCCCCACTGATTTACCCTGGTCTGTTCAGCCTCAGATGGGTCCGAGATTAACTGTGACTTTAGGTCTCTTTTGAGATTTATTTATGGGTATCTGAAGCAAGACCAATAAACGAGCTTGTATAGCTGAGCCGGAGGTGGTTTGTAGGCGTGGTTTCCACACACCTAACTTTTGGTTCATTTAATTTCTTGGAACACTTGGTCTTGAATTGGGGTCCAGCCAGAGGCACGGCAGCAATTTTGGGGTATCAGGAAGCCTGTAGGCACCATCAGGTTGCTGATGCACCCACTCCACGGGTACAGGTTGACCTGCTGGAGGCATGGCAACCCCGAGGCAGGACTATTAAGCTTCACCGAAAACTGTCCTATCAAAAATTCTATGCCTTACATCATTTTCTGTT